CTGTTACCCCTCCACCATATTTAACACCAAACTGCAGGAGTCAGTGGGGCTCTGTGGTGAAAGCCTGGGAGTGGGAATTAGGACACCTATGCTTTATTTTTAGCTCTGCTCTCTGTGTGACTTTGGTCAAGTCACTTTACATGCCTGTGCTTCAGATTCCTCACTGGTAAAGCAGGACAAAGAGATGTACCCACCATTGTAAAGCACTGAAATAATGCAGAAGTGCTAAGGAAATAAACCCAGTTCTGCTCTCAGTCAGGGCAGTGTATATCCAAAGTAGTTCCATTGGCATTAGTGGAATTATTCTAGCTTTACACTAGTGAAATTGAGAATAAAATTTGGCCCAATGGTTTATAACATTTTCCATGAAAAATCAGCTTCACTTTAAAACCCTCCATCTGCAGGAATCATGAAAATGTGCCTGTTTATATCTGATTTAGGAACATTATGGTACTTTTCCTTCCATTTTAATGCTGAGTATTTAATGCTGGAAAGGCTTTTCCCTTATGTGTAAGGAAAAGGGATTTAATGAACCACAGAACTGGATACTTTACAAAGTACATGCATATTCAGCTCTTTTTTCTGGTTAAAGAACACACAACTGGCATGGAAAAGACTCTAGCAATTGCTTTCAGAGGAGCATGGCCCTCAGCAAGAACAGAATAAACTTCCAGCTCAATTGTCTTTGTTTTTAATGCTGTGAGTTTGCTGTATGCTCACTACATGTTTTACCAGAGCCAAAGCTGGTCCTTGTTAGTTGCTCTGAATAGATTAAATGTGGGGATAGATAGTTTGTGGGCTCACCATCTGTTTCTTTTAATGCGTAAACAAGGAAAATTGCTGGTTTGAAAGGCAGGATTTTTCAAAGCCAGATGACCACAGGCATTCTTGAGAAAAAAAGACAACCTAGAGTTCATTGACATTTGTCAGGAAGTAAATTCCTAAACACCAGAAAGGGCCACTAGCCGTACCCGGGGGAGATAAAAGAGGAAAGGTTTTCTTATACTGATATTGCCTTTCTTCTGAGGTCTTTAACATTAAATTACAAAGTACTATTTTGGCTTTTAAAAACAGGGCCGGCTCCAGGCACCAGCCCACCAAGCTGGTGCTTGGGGCGGCACCTGAGGGGGGCGGCGCGGCGCTCCGGCCCGAGAGCGGGGCTGCGACTGGCTCGCCACCCTCCCCCCGGCGCTGCCTCTGGTAGCCGGGGAGAGCGGAGCCCCGGCGGGGCTCGCCGCCCTCCTCCCGGTGCAGCCTCTGGCCGCCGCGGAGAGTGGAGCCCCGGCGGGGCTCTCCGCCCTCCCCCTGGCGCAGCCTCTGGCCGCCGCGGAGAGCGAAGCCCCAGCGGGGCTTGCCGCCCTCCCCCCAGCGCTCTCCGCCCTCCCCCCAGCGCTCTGGCCGCCGGGGCTCCGCTCTCCCCTGCGGGGCTCGCCGCCCTCCCCTGCGCGGGGGTGCGGGGGGGTGGCGGGAGGCTTTTTTGCCTGGGGCGGCAAAAAAGCCAGAGCCGGCCCTGTTTAAAAAGTAAAGATTAAACAATTAGGCCAAGATTTTTAAAAGCGACTTGTGATTTTGGTGCCCTCATCACTGTAAAAGGGTCTGATTTTCTGAAAGTGCTGAGCATCCACCACCCTCAGAAAATCAGGCACTAATCACTTTTGAGAGACCTTATTCCCACCCATTGCAGATTATCTGAATTTGTGAAACAGCAAGGGAGCAAACACACAATAAAAAGGATACTGCATCACAAAATGTACTTGGCTTATTTCATTTTGACAAGTCTAGTTTGGTTTTAGTTACTAAGGATCATACATCATAATGTATTAGTTATGTACAGCAGTACATTGGGTAAAAAGAACAGGCATTTAAGTTAATTTAAGACCTTGTTACAGTAGACAACTATTACAGCTTTTTCTGAGAAATGTGGGGAGAACTCTGTGGTGTGCTGTAAAAGAATAATTGGATGTACAAGATTCTACTGCATGACAGAGATTGTGGTTTTGAGGATATGCTTCTCCTATAAATGTTTGGAGATACAATACAGCTTTTGTGCTATGTATACATCATCCTATAGAGGGTTGGGATGTCATTTAAACTGATACATTGCCATTCAGGCATATAATTTCAAGAACATAAAATACTGTTAACAACAACAGACTTTTGTTTGTTAATAGCCGCACATAAAATCCAAAATGATGCGGTTTAGGGCTCGATCTTGCAAGCCCTCAGTGCCTGAAACTGTCACTGATATCAATGAAGTCCATTTATGGAGGACTAGCAGCACTGGGAATCTAGCGTGCCTACTTTCAAATACAGTTTGGCTGCTATATGGCTGACTCCCAGTGCCCTTTACTGTAAAACAGCAGTTAAGAATTAAGAAACTTTGAATTTCAACAATTTAGCAATCACTCGCCGCCCCTCCCCAGGGCTGCACTGGTATCTTTGGCTGAGTTCCAGAGCACTACAATTCTTCAACCCTGCGGCTGAGCATTTCCCCCATAATCTAGTAAGCAGCCTGACGTCAGAGTTTTCACATTAGAGAAAGGATTAAAGATGATGGCTACCCAGGGAACAACCTTTTGTTTCTAATTTGCAATGTCTGCTCTACTGGAGGATCATTGTAAAACCCTGGGGGCTTATTATTGATGCAAAATAGGCACTGCAATTTAGAAACCCCTGGGAGGGACAGTGAGTAAACATGGTTAAAAGTCGAGTCCTTTGATTCCAAGGTATTTCTCTTACACTATGGTGCTCAGCATTACTATGGAAACCTGTTAGTAGGCCAGGTGAGGTTCATTGTGTTTGCATTACATTAATACCTGTCTTTGACTGGTGTTTGGTGCCACACTTGGAATTCTACACAGCATCTGCCAGTCTAGTAAAAGTAAGCTAATAATGCCTTACATTCATATCATGCCTTTCGCCCTAAAGGATCCCAAAGCACATTGCAAACTATATATATTGGCCAGATTCACTCCAGGATCTGCTCCAGCGTCCCCTGATGGCAGAAAGACCGCATGAAGAAAGGGTAGATTGCTATTCCCCCTACCCCACTTCCCCAGGGAGTCCACAGGCAGACAACACAGCCCCAGAAGTGTGTAACCGTGGCCAGGGATGAGTAATGACCAAAGTGATCTCTTATGAAAAAGTCCTGTAGAATTTAATGGCAAGTGAGAACGTTCTCATAGGTTTTCTGTTTAATCGTCCGATAAAATTTAATGGAGAATTCTATTCCTGATATAGAATTCTATAGGAAAGAGATCCTCCTCTATTAAATTCTATAAGTTTTTACATTAATTTCTATAGAACCTATTAATTTCACCTCTATTAAATACCCGCCTGGCATCCTAGTGGAAATCAGAGCCTCCAGTGGAAATTTAAACCGTTCGAGCCTGCCCCCATCCTCTGGCAGAAACCCAAGGGTAGGGCAACGATGAAAGTACCAAGTATCAGAGGGGTAGCCGTGTTAGTCTGAATCTGTAGAAAGCAACAGAGGGTCCTGTGGCACCTTTAAGACTAACAGAAGTATTGGGAGCATAAGCTTTCGTGGGTAAGAACCTCACTTCTTCAGATGCAAGTCATGAAAGTATGAAAGTACCATTTACCATCCCCCAGAAGTGAATGCTACTCCTCTATCCTCCCAGGCCATCTTAACTTCCTTACATCAGCCAGGTTGAATCCGGCCCAGGCTATTCAGGAATGACATCAGCCCCCTCTGCGGAGGAATTCAGCAGCTGTTTAACGGTGCAGAGGAAAATGCCACAAAACACGTAGGACAGGAAGTGAAGAAGAACAGTGTATTCCATTGAATTTGCAGGGAGAATAGAGATATGCAGAGTGTAAACATCAGGGACTCAGTCCTGCAATCCATAGTTAGGCAAAACTCACAGTGGAATTTGGCTAGGCCACTGGGACTTACTCCTGTAAAAAGTGTTGTTTGATCTTTACCAACAGTGTGCTCAGGAATTCTGTTTAATAGCTCGCCTACATTTACAAGGAAAATTAAGTGACCCTTGTTCACAATTCTCCTCAGCTGAACCTGAAACCATTTCTTGTACAATCCTATGACATTCTGTCATTGTGTGTCTTTGTTCTGCACTGTATATTTCTTTACTGGAGCTAAATTGTACAGACAGAATTTAGAGTATATCACTATTTCCACTATAAACACTGTTTTTCAGGGAGTTATGTAACAACATTTCTTTTAAACCAAACTATACTGAACTCTTGCCATGCAGATGGTTGTCCCAGATGTAAGGTATTTATTTTTAACCACATTTTATTTGAAGTAAGTGTGGGCAGTTTATGGTTTTGAAAACACAAGCAATGTAAATTCTCACCATCACAGAGACGGTTTTGCACATAGTGTAGTTCAAGAACAGCTTAAATTTTCCAGTCTGTTAGCTGCTAATGTGGACTAATTACACTTAAGCCCCAAGAGTAAATTTCCTGCTTTAGCATCTTCCATTTAAAGGAGCTTCAAAGCCACAACAAATGCTCCATTGTTTAGGACTTGCTCACACAAGTAGTCCTGCTGAAGTCCCTGGGCCACTCACATTAGTAAAGGTTGAAAGATTAGGATTTTAGGCCCAGATCCTCAAAGGTATTTAGGCACCTAACTCTCGTTGTAATCAGTTGGTACCTAAGTATCTCTGAGGCCAAAGATTAGGATCATAGAGCCTGATCCAGCAAGGAATTGAGCACCAGTCGAGGTTACTCAACTCCTTAATAAAAAACTACTGCAGGAGCATTTTAAACCAGTGGCAGAGCTGCTCAAAGAAGAAATAATGGTTTCATTGTAACCAATAAGTATCGTTTTGGAATACAATTTAAAAAAAACATCAGATGTCTGTAGGGACTTTCATTAATAAAATTGCCAGATAAAAAGTGTAGAAGTTAATAACACTGGAATGTTTGTGTAGAGAAGCATATCCAATTACAGACAGAACATGCTGAGTGCCTCAAGTAATTTTGTTTTCATCTCCTTCTCTTTTAACCCACAGGTAGTAACTCCAGTCAGAACAGGACAAGGTTATGTTTATGAGTTCCCTTCCAAATACCAGAAAGATATCTACGATACCCCTCCAGTTCGTCCTTCCCAAGGGGTACGTACCAATAAAACGGTCAGCGGCATTGAAAAGCTACAAAAAGTCTTTCCATTTTATCTGCAGTTGAAGTGCAGGAGACATTATGTCATTCCAAAGTGAAAATATTTTTCAATTAGGGCAGGTCTACGCTACTGCTGATGTCAAAATAACATGTTATTCAGGGGTGTAAAAAAGCCACCCCTCTGAATGACTCAAGTTACACCAACCTAAGTGCTGACGTGGACAGCGCTATGTCGGTGGGAGACGCTCTCCTGCCGACACAGCTACCGCCTCTCTCCTGTCTGCATATAGGGTCGTCACCAGGCATGCTACAGCGGTGCGGACTCCGATGAGATGTCCTTTTCTATGTCATTGTGCACTAAATGCATTTGATGTTAAGATCTGGCAGTACACAAACATCAAAATCACATTTACTTGCCAAGGGATACGATTCATTGTTTTGGTCCAACAAAATACCCAAACAGAATAAATATGTTGCCAAAGAAAGTGTTTTCTCCTTCTGTTATTGCACAGTTGGCACTAGTTTACTTAGTAAGAGCACAGTTGTCCCCTGTACTAGCTACTTCCATGGAGGAGGTTGTTCTTACCAAATGTCCGCTAGATTATTTTCCTGATACTGGATTGGGCCCCTACTCCTGAGAATAACCAGGGAAATTGGCCCCCAAAGCCCAGGAATTTCCAGGATATAGAAACCCAGGAACTATGCACTCCCTGTCTGCTCACCAGGGCCCCTTGACAACACAGCTTCTGCAGGAAATGTGAAACTAAAGCTCCCCCTCAGCAGACGCCCCTGGCGTACCCCTCAGCATTCAAAACTGCCAACGCACCAGAGTCACAAATGACCAAAACGTGGAACAATCATCATGCCATAATGGACAGATTACAGTGTTTGTTTTAAATATGTTTCCTCACTGTATGCATTACGTAAACAGGTTTTGTGAGATTATAACCCAGGCGGCTCGAAGACGTGGGAGTTTGGCGTGAGAAGTGGGAAGGAGATTTGGAGGGGAAGGAGTGGTTCCTGATTAGGGTTCTCCCAATAATATTAATTCTGGAAGCTGCATAGAAATTAATTCAGGCCCAGGGCTCTGCTCTACCCCTCCCCCAGTACAATTAACATAACACCGGCTGTCCCTAAAAAAGATTAATTCAGGCCACTCCTACCCCTCTGCAAGATTCCATTGCTCCTGCCCTGCCCCCGCAGAGGTCCTTGCTGCATTGATAGCCCTGAGCCATGCTCCTCTCTAAGAAGCAGAGAACGCAAGCCCAGGAGATGACCATTGTTTTCCACTAGAGGAGGGGGGAAGTTGGAGGGAGCGAGCTGGACCAGCACACTTCTCACAGCAAGGAGAGCCCACCCCCCCTTGAAGAACCCAGCAGGTCAGGGTTTTTGCTTCCCAGCCCTTCTTTAAATAGTGTGTGTGTGGGGGGGGCAGTCTGCTCACTCCCTATTCATCCCTCCCCACCCCAAAAAGCTTGTTAGTTCCTTGGCTTGCTTCTTCCCTGAGACCACTTGCCTGCTCGTCAGGGACAAGGAGCAGAGAAGAGCAGGAGCCCGAGAGCTGCCAGAGGAGAGTCTCCTTTTCCTTTCTCCACCCCTTGCTGTTGCTGCCTGTCCTTGCAGTGCATCACCTGAGAATGCAGTGCAGCAGGACAGGGAGGCAGAATCCTCTGTAATGCAGCACCTACCACACCATGTAGTACACTTAAAAGGTCTGGTCCCTGCAATCTTCTCAGCAGGGTGGCCCACTTCACCAAGTGGGGCAATGGGTACATAATCTGACAAGGTCAAGCATTAAGTCTCAAAGGTTTTGGGAGCGAGTGACAATGATGCCACAGAGAGCAGTTATCCCCCCCTCAACACCACCGTTGCCATCTCGGAGATACAAAAACCCAGGATATCAGGAATGATCCTGAGCCCCTAAAGCTGGACATCTGGCAGTGTATACTGAGCACCCTTACAGATTTCCCAGTACAGCTACCTCAAAAAAGGGTGATCCTGGGTCCCTGTGCCCCCCACCACCTCCCACACTGCATGTATCAAATCTTGTGACGCGTACCTGCCATTGTGGCAATCTCTTCTTCTGTCTCCACCCCAGTAGAGCTCTGTCATGATTCAGTCCCCTCTGCATCTGTAAATAAGGAGAGGATGAAGGGGGTCCTATGTGCAGATCTTGATTTAACTTTGTGACTGGAATTCAAATGAAGTGTTTCCATTCAGAAACTTCATCTGGCCAGCCCACAGTCCACACAATCCCACTAAAGGGAGCTATCACAAGCATATTTGTCTCTCAGGGTACGTCTACACTACCTGCCGGATCGGCGGGTAGCGATCAATCTATCGGGGATCGATTTATCGCGTGTAGTGTAGACGCAATAAATCGATCCCCGATTGCTCTCCCGTCGACTGCTGAACTCCAGCAGTGTGAGAGGCGGAAGCAAAGTCGACGGGGGAGCCGCGGCCATCAATCCAGCGCCGCAAGGACGCGAAGTAAGTAATTTTAATTCGATCTAAGATACGTCGACTTCGAAGTTGTGTATCTTAGATCGATATCCCCCCCCCCCAGTGTAGACCAGGCCTCAGTGCCCACCCTGCAAGCCTCCTCATACACAAAAGCGAAAGCCCTGCTCTTCTTCTTCCTTCTATTTCAAAGTAAATAAAATGTGAGAGAACTCATCTGAAATCACAGCTATCATGGGATGGCTCTATTTTCTGTAACAGGTTTATTCTCTCTTCAGATATATGACGTTCCCCCTGCATCAGTTAAGGGGCCTGTGCATCCAGTCCCAATGGGAGAGGCAAAAGCTCAAGGGGTGTATGATATACCTCCTATAAAAGGGGTAAGTCTGATGCAATTTCAGTGGATCATACATGAATTTTCATGTCAGACTGAAGACGTGTTTAGACATAAAAGTGCATATGACACTGAATAAGGGTATTGAATTCTAGTACTTTAAACATTCCCTCAGGCTTTTTACACATTCATTAAAGCTTTGTAACATAATTACTAACCTCATGTAGGGTAACTATAAATTAGAGCTAAAGCTACATTTAGGAGAAAACCTTAGGGTGACCAGAAAGCAAGTGTGAAAAATCGGGACGGGGGTGGGGGGTAATAGGCACCTATATAAGACAAAGCCCCAAATATCGGGACTGTCCCTATTAAATCAGGACATCTGGTCACCCAATTCCCCCTCCCACTGCCCTGCTTATAAAAGATTTAATGTTCATTTTGATGGAAATGAACATTGTTTAATTAGTAAGAAAATTGTGACTTCATGAAATCCAGGGTGAAAGTCTGGCTCCATTGAAGTCAGTGACAAATCTTCCATTGAATTCACTGCGGCCAGGATTCCCTACCCTCTCTGCCTTTCCCCTGAATTTTAATTTAATGCTAGTTCCATTGAAGACGTCTTTGCTATTTTACCTTTGCGCTCATGGCTTGCTTTCTGCATTTCAGATCTATGATGTTCCTGCATCTGCATGCAGAGAGGATACAAGCCTGAGGGAAAATTTGCTGGATTTCTCTTCTTCAGTGAACCATAATGCAAGACTAGAAGGAGTGTATGACATCCCTCCTCCCACTACCAAAGAACTTAGCAAGAAATTTACCTCTGACGTCCCCCTACCTAATGATTTATTGTCATGCAAACATAGCCTATATGACATTCCAGTGAGCCATCAAAATCAATTTCTTGGTCAGCAGATTGCTCCTCAGAAGGATGTATACGATACCCCTCGTGGAGTTCCATTTCCTGGACAGCAGTCGGGATTCAGCAAAAGTCTAAATCCAGAGGGAAGGGAAGGTGTGTATGATGTGCCACCACAGACTACACAAGACACTAAAGGATTGAAAGATGTGACAGATGGGATAAATAGATTGTCTTTCTCCAGTACGGGCAGCACTAGGAGTAACATGTCTACATCTTCCACAACTTCAAAGGAGTCATCTTTTTCAGCCTCGCCTTCTCAGGACAAACGATTAATACTAGATCCAGACACAGCCATAGAGAGACTTTATTGGCTTCAGCAGACAGTGGAGACTGTGGTCTCTAATCTTATGGCCTTTGTTAACACAGACTGGCGGTCTTATGGGTACATGGAGAAAAATATCAATGAAATCCACACTGCCGTGGAGAAAGTAGAGCAGTCGTTGGTGGAGTATCTTCAGTTTGCAAAAGGAGCAACAGCCAATGCTTCCTGTCTCTCAGAAATCAATCTCCATAACAAAATGAGAAGGGAGCTGCAGAGACTGGAGGATTCTCACCAGATCTTAACCCAGACCAGCCATGACCTGAATAGCTACAGCTGGTCATTGAACATCTTGGCAGTCAACAAATCCCAAAACAAATGTGATGATCTAGACCGATTTGTTATGGTGGCAAGGACAGTCCCAGATGATGCCAAGCAATTGACCACCACTATCAGCATCAATGCAGAGATGCTATTCAAACAGGTATCAGGCAGCTCACGTTTAAAGAATGTTTCAGAGAACATTATGAACACAACTGACTATGCATACAACAGCCCCCAGAATCAGTTGTTACACCACAGAGAGAAAACTCAGGACCACGGCAGTTCTTTTCCCCCATTTCTGAGTAAAGACCAGCATCCCCCTGGTATCACTAATGAGGGCTCTGAGAAGAGCTGGATGGATGATTATGATTACGTTCACCTACAGGTAAGCGAGCCAGACACATTGTTCTGCTCAATGCAGATTAAGATTTGTTGCATGCTCCATTCTGTAAGAACCCGTCCTGACAAGACAGGAAGCAGACTGTCACACCAAGATACACTTGAAATTCCTTTTCTTTTTTTTAATGGATGAATATCAAAAGTTGCCTAAGAAACTTCATTCAGCCCAGACTGCACATTGGGTACAGATTTTAAAAATTAGTTTGAATCCCAAGAATGGGATTCCCAAGAATGAGATTCAAATCGGACTACTCTACATAATGGCTGTAGCCTATCACCAACATAACATTATCCGTTTCCTCTTTGTTCTTTTGTGGGTGTGCTACAAATTAAGGTGGCAATACAAGGAGGTACATTTGCCACACTGTCCACGGGCATTTAATCATTAACTTTAGAGAATTACCGTTTGACACAATATCTATTTTTATCTTGTGCCAAACAGGGAAAAGAGGAGTTTGAAAGACAACAGAAAGAGCTTCTAGAAAAAGAAAATATCATCAAGCAGAACAAGATGCAGCTGGAGCATCATCAGGTATGTCCAGTCAGACACAGCTGTCAGACTTGGAAGGTAGCGTGCAGGCCATTTTGTACCACGAGATGTGTCAGCCGAATAAAAGAGAAGGAGCTCATCTCTCAGCCACTTAATGGTGGATTAGCAACAAAGGAGGCAAGGGTGTCCACTCTCCCCTCAGAGTCGGAAGTGGTTAGCATGCGGGAGAGTTTCCCACCATCCTCTCTTATAGATTTTCTTCAGTCCTGGAGGCACTAAAGAAAACAGGAACCTCTATGACAATTTAGTCCTTTCAGACTCTTGGAGATAGCCTGGGAGTCAGCATCGTCATCTCGTTCATTACCTTGTTGCCATTAGATAGCAGAACTGCAGCTCTTCCTGTGTATTTGAGAGAGATCTCCTCTGCTGGGAAGAGATCTGTCCCCTGAAAGCACATTCAAACATGTCTGTTCAAGAGGTTAATTCTTTTTATAGCACCTAGAAGCCCCTCTGTACTAGGCACACTATATACACATAGGCTGCATCTACACTACACACCACTGGTGATAGCATGTAGCGTATATGAAAAGCAGGCTCCATCCACACTGGCTGAACCTTTCCCAGCTGTCTCCCCCTGCTGGCATCTTTCCCTGCTGCCTCCCTCCGCCCGAGTCTTTCCATGTGGTGGGGAAAGATTCTAGCACCTGGGAGATGGCAGCACCTTTCCCCAGTGCCTCCTGGCTGCAGGCGTCTTTCCCTGAGGTGGAGAAGGGCTCCAGCAGCGGGGAGCTGGTAGAACTTTTCCCTGCAGAAGTGGGAGGGGAAGGCTCCAGTCATGAGCAGGCAGTGGGACACTACACTGCTAAAAACAGCAGTGTAGATAGGGAGGCATGGCCTGGGCAAGTAGAGAGAATATAGGGTGTGCACTTGTATACATACCCACACCCTTCAGGTGTGTCTTTACTCTATTTGCCAAAGCCCAGGCCTCATGGTCTACGCTGCTATTTATACCTGTGCTGGGGGGCTACACACATATATACTCTACCCACCACCAAAAAGAAGCATGCAGCTTAGACATACCCATAGTAAGAGACCAGTCCTCTTCCACAGAATTTATATAGGAGGGGAAATAGAGGCACAGAGCGGTGAAGTGACTTTTCCAAGGTCACACAGCAGGGAAGTGGCAGAGCCAGAAACTGAACCTCGGTCTCTTGAGTCCTAGTCCAGTGCCGTACCCACTGGCCCACATGGAATACAAGTATAGGTTATGCACACCCACTGTCTAAATCCGTACATCACTACATTAAAAAAAAATCTTAGTATAACTTTAAAATTATTTTTTAAACACCAAAAAGATCAGGAAACAAAATGTTAATGCTGTCGTAGTAATAGTAACTCGCCAACATGCTGACATAAAATGTACAATTTTCATAAATATAAAATATTAACAAATTTAGTAACCAAAAATACTCCATATGTGCAATGTGCAAGTGGTAACCTTGATTTTTGCATTTCCTGACTTGTGAGCATTTAAAGCTGTAATCCTAACATAACATTAATGTAAGGTTTTGTATTTAAATTTCCCTGTGAGTTTTTGTTTGCTTGAAGAGCAATGAGGAGCTCAAAGATTAAGGTTTGATAGCTCACGATCATGCATAGATAGAAGTGTCAGCTATTTATCATAGGAGAGATTCTCAACTGGATGGACAGCAACTGTTTCTGACTCTGTAGTGTCCCAATATATCAGTTCTTAAAACCATTATCTTTTTAGATATAGCAAAGCTATTTTAGATTGTTATGACTTCTCTGGTCCTGTGTAGTTGGACTCATGTGTAGTAGGAAGTAGGGTCCAAAGATGTCCCAATAAATTTTTAGAAGTCTTCAAAAATGTCTACAGTAGTTTTCCTATATGTGACATATACAGATATACATGATGGTACACTCTGGTATAAAGGATTAATTGGCTCCCACTTAGATGAGCTATGTAAGTTACTTGTGAGTAACATACCCAAACCAAATCATTTACACACTATGGGGATAGTATTTAGAAACTGTGCTTGCAGCTAGTGTACAGGGTATTAAGAAATCAGTGTGAAATGTATTTGCGTTTATCAAAGGCAGGATAGGTTTGTGAATTATAACGAGGTGATGTGATGTGTTAATAGTTCTTTGAAGAGACTCTTCTCTTTGCCGTTCAGATCAATCAGTTCCAGCAACTGGAGCAAGAGATCACAAAGCCTGTGGAGAATGACATTTCAAAATGGAAGCCGCCTCAGAGTCTTCAAACTGCAAGCAGCACTGTGAGCTCTCAAGACCGAGAGCTGCTCTTCTTTTATTCTGACCAGTGCGAGACTCATTTTGTTTCTCTCCTAAATGCCACTGATGCCTTTTTTAACTGTGTCAGTGCTGCTCAGCCACCAAGGATGTTCGTCGCTCACAGCAAGTTTGTCATTTTAAGCGCTCACAAACTGGTGTTCATCGGGGACACGCTCACAAGGCAAGTGACTACTCAGGATATCCGCAGCAAAGTGATGGACTCCAGCAACCAGCTGTGTGAATTGCTAAAGAACATTGTTATGGCAACCAAGATGGCTGCTTTGTATTATCCCAACCCAGCTGCCCTGCAGGAGATGGTCGACCGAGTAACAGAACTGTCTCATCACGCACAGCTGTTTAAACGCTCTCTGGTACAGATGGCATCATTCTGAAACAAACAAAATGGAATCCAATCAATGGACAGTAAAAATTATTTTAAAAAACTGGAAATATGTCCTAGTTTATGTAAATGTTATCAATTTTTGTAAATATTTTATATGAAATATTTTAAATACATTTTTATGGATTAGAAAATCTAAAATTCAGGGATCTGGGGGTATATCTGTTTCCCTATTATGTTTTTAATATACATATATATATGTATACACTGCATATATGTATATGTTGCTACATTCCATAAGACACCATTATGTAAGCACCTTAAAAGTATGCATCAGTTAAGTGGTGCATATCACTGTATATACTGCCTGGTTTTCAATATATCCGTTAACTGGATGCTGTCACATGGACAAGGCTGGCAAATCTATTTGTAGCAATTCATGATGTAGATGTAATAGTTCTAATGGAACCCCAATCCCTTCCCAGAACCTACTTGATTTGAATTAATTTAGTAAAAAATTAACTGTACCCTCAATTTTATTTTGCATACAGGAGTCATTTTGAGCAGTGTATATATATATAAGTTACATAACAGACAATAAACCAAGGCTCAAACCAGCGGGGCAAAAATCATCCTCATATTGCATGATAGACAGAACCTCCTCACGAGGAGCAGGAAGGATTGTATATATTTAAAAATAATGTCTTAATGCCACAAAATATTTAAAAAACCTGGAAGAATTCCCAACAATATAAATTCACATATGTTTATCCCACCTTTCCTTGCATTTGCAAATAATGATATCTGTCAGACTTTAAAGATGTATTTTTTTTTGCAGACCTAGGGACTTACTCAGAGTTGCTGAATGTCCCTAAATCTTGCTGACATCAGTGGATTCTGAAAGTACACAACATCTCCCAAGATCAGGCTTAATGAAAATGCATGGCATCATAATTCCCCATGAAAAGGCTTAATTTGCCATCAATTTTGGAACATCTGATTAAAACATCTGTAATTTTAGAGGAGAAAATAGCACTTATCTCTATGACAAATTCTTATGAATCATTTGCACTTTTGCAGCTCTGAGCTTCACTCAGATTTTGGACTTTTTCCAAATTTTCTTTCCCGACCTACGAACACACCATGGGTCTCCTGGGCTACATAGTCACCAAAGCAACACCCTATATTTAAAGGGGTAATTCCATATGTAGCAAACACAACAATGACTTGACCACAGGTCACATTACATGACCACTCCTAAATGTGGAGTAGTGGCAATCAGGCTCCAGGGAATGAGGTCCAGGTGATGCTCAGTGGACTTCTGATTTAAAACAAAAATATTGTTACCCAAGTTTCCTTGTGATAATTCAGGCTACAGTCCCAAGTCTTTATGTATTCTGAGTGTTTGCATAAGAGACCAGCCTGGTGGTAAATACAAAATCACACCATGTAGAATACCTAGTCAGGAGGCACTTAAGTAAAGTCTTTCTTCACAAAAGGATGTCTGGTATTTTTATTCCAGCCTATGTCTAAACACGTTCTCCAGTGCATGCCTCATTGCAGTGCATTTGTTTATCTTGGATAACAGAACTGCTTAACCAGCAAATGAAGTTATGCTTTCCTAATACATTGTCTCAGAGTGATGACTGCTCATCACTGAGAGTTACCATAATGTTGTTTCCAGAGGGCTCCCATTAAAGCCAGTGGGAGTTCAGAGAGACTTCAGCAGCAACAGAATCATACCCAGCACTTGCATCAGATATAATATTGAAAGCTCTTCTCCGTTTTACAAGAGGAGAGGAATAATTATCCCATTTAAACAAAATAGGATTGCCAAAAGATACCAAAGAATCCACTTGAACCTGTTTTGTATTTGTGTTATTTGGGATTTTTCTATTTTTTTCCATTGTAATATTTTTAGAAAGTGACAAAGTGTTTTAAACTTTAGCCATCATGTCAATCACTTTTGAGTTTTCAAAAGGGGGATTCCTTTTATGGCAAACTTATATTATTGTTTACTTGTTACCTTGTACAGAGTATTTTTAAAATCATTAAATATACAAAGCTTTTTTTAAAAAAAAAATTATGTTAACTGGTTTTCTTCCTCCTTTGCAATTCTCTATGAACTGTGGAAGCAAATGTTCCAGGCTAAAGCTGTTGTGAGACAGAGTGCTTATGTTCCCGCCCCTAAAGAGTGTAGAAAAGTCAATGAAACAGTAATTAAACAAGCTGCTATCAAGAAAGAAGAAACTAACTAGAAAGGGTTTAGGGGAATTTGGTCTGTAGTGATCACTCTTTATAGGGTGAAGTTCAAATCATCCATAGGAAACCCAAGTAGACTGGCTTTGTATGAGTAACCAGTGTGGAGATTGAAGGGGTGATGAAAATCTCTACTAGTCCAGAGGAAGTTGGTGGAGCACTTGTGCAACTGGCCTGCAGCGGCTACCATGCCTCATAGATAATAAAAACAGCTACAGGCTGCTGCTCTCCTCATCTCCCTGCAGGGTTTATGGTCAGTGGATGCACAATATTTGTGGGCCCATTTGGCCACTTCCCTATCTCATTCACGAAGCCCCGGTGTATCATCCCACAGAGACGGCAGATGTGTAGCACTGTTCTATGGAACAGGTATAATCAGATGGAGAGGACATGTCCTCTCAGCTTTATACTATCCTGTTAACGTACCCATCGACGCAGCTGCAGGACTCATTCCATCTCATGCCCAATTCTATCCCTGGCCTCCAATCCAACTTCTGTGATTACATCTATGCTCTATGCCACATGGAAGGCTGACGAGCCACTCCTCATAGTCTGTATTCCCCCAGCCCCAAGCAGGTGGAACCATAGCAGTTCAGCTGTGGTTCAGGCCTTGCATGTCTGGGGTGAGGGGTCAAGAGTCCAAATGACTATGTGGCTTTAAGGATCAAAAATTCCCCTCCAAAAGTTATGCCCTATTGGTGCTGACGGGCTTGCCTCTCACTTACATACCTATTGAGCTTCATTGATCGTAAGGATGAAAGCAGAAGCAGTGTCTTTGTTTCCAAAGTTAGGAAAGAATTTTGCACCTTTCTGAGAGCTACTTTCTGGAGTGTGACGACAGTTGGCTGTCAGTAAAGAAAGTCCCATCTTGTGTGAGTGCAAATTAATGCCTACTTCAGCTTACTCCGTTCCTTGCAAAATGAAGAGGTTGCTTCTATGCACATTTGACTTAGAAACCTCTGGGTTTGGTGGATTTGAACTCCGTGATTGGTGCAGGCAATGCCTGTTTTGATCACAATCTATAAGACGACTCCACCGTATTCTGCTTCTAAATTTAAAAAAGCTAATAATAAAGGGATTGGATAACTGAAGGAATTGGAAATGGGAGCCACAGCCTTTTATGTCTGAGTCACTGTGTCCCAGGACAGCAGCAGATTAAGCTGCTGCCATGTGACAACAGCTTGGTGGCCAACATGAAATGGTTTCTGGTTTCTAATGAATAGATGCCACATCACAAAACAAAAATGCTTAAACACATCTAGCTCTTTACCTCAGAGCCCTGTATAAACATTAATTCACAAAAAACATTTGGCATTACTCACCTCTTAAGTTCAGCTACTGGAGGGATAAGGAGCTACAGTACTCCAGTACTGTTCATTCCGGTTTAGAGATGTCACCAGCTCCAGGGATATTCTTTATTTTTAAAATGGAGGATATTGCTAGCAATATTTTAGATCGTTGGACCTCTGAATGACCCGCTGGCTGGCAATTGCAGCATAGGCATTGAGGATTAAATGGACCAAGAGGCTGACTCACACCCTCAATATTAAACATGATCTTGTTTGTGAGGCTGCTTTGATGACCTCTGCTGCCCATGCTGAAGGTGAACTTGTTGCCAAACTTCATTGTCAATCTAGCATCTTTGCTGGCTGTTTTAAAATTTATTTTCCCTGTAGAAGCAATGAAAGAGTGGCCACATTTTTGTGAATGCCTTGTACACCCCCATATTAATGTTCTGCTTCGTGTCATGGTTTTCTCTTGGGTGGGCTGTAGCCTTCCGTTCTCTGGACTCTCTCACACTCTCACCTCGTCACTCTAACCAGCATTCACCAGCTTTTCCCATTGCTCTGATGGCATCGTTCTCACCACTCAGTTTCCCACACTGGTGCACTGTCTCTCTACACAAAGTGCCAACACCAGTTAAGGCACTGCCTCTCTGTGCATCTCACCCCTCTTCCCATATGCATTCTGCACAATTATCACACCTTGCTCCTCAGCTTGTCTCCTACTCCTATTCTCCTCTTCATGCCTGTTCCCCATATTGCTTCCTTTGCCTGGAACATCATCACTCTGTGACAGTAGCCAGGGTACAATCTGGACTGTTGAACAGTGATATCCCCTTAACTCTCTAGCCTGGGGTGCCTTTAACACTGCTTTGCTGTCAGAACAGCCACTCCTGGCCTGTTCACACAACCTTCAGGATGCAAATTCACTCCCAGCTAAATACATGAGCCAGTCACTCATGAATTGCATACAGGGCGACACCCGTAAATTCTTAGTCCCAGACTTTCCCCCAGAAATGTGCATCTTGTACTGTCCAGCACACTACTGAACAATTCAAGCTCATTTCATCAAAGAAAAATTATATAGGCACTCAGGGCCGTCCTTACCCATACGCAAAGTATGTGGCTGCATAGGGCACCAGGAACTTTCCTGGTGCTCCAGTCCCTGCCCCACCTCTTCCCGCCCCTGTTCCGCCCCAGCCCCCCCCCCACTCCACCCCTTCCCCAAAGCCCCTGCCCCTGCTCTGCCCCACCCTGCCCCAGCTCCGCCCCAGCCCCGCTCCCACTCCCCTGAGGACTGAAGCAGGGCCCGGCCTGCACTCCCTGGCAGCAGGAAGTGCAGCGGCCTGGCCCCAGCCATGCCGCCAGTGAGTGCTGGGGGGTGGTTCCCCCTGGCCTCCCAAGCCAGCCCCCCACGCAGAGGCTTGGGGCCCCACATCCCCCCCACGGGGGGGCTGCGTAGGGCCCCAAAATAACTAGGGATAAATCAGTCTGAATGGTTCTGTTTAGATTTAAGGAAACAACTAAACAAGACAGAACAAAAATTAAGTCTCCATGAAAGTGCATGGCACATCTCATCTATAACATACTTCACAAAATGGCAGTCGCCTCTGCAGATAGTAGTTTTCTAGAAGTTTAAAGGTGTAGTATACCAAAACTAAAATCACAAAAGTTACGGGATATATACAGTGGCGGATTAGCCTCTGGGCCAACGGAGCCCATGCCCAGGGGCCCTGGCCAACTGGGGTGTCCCAGAAAAATGAGCACCCCTGCGCCCCAACTTACTCCACCTGGCGCTCCTGCCAGGGAGCAGGGTCAGGACATGGGGGCTTGCCTCGCTCCGCCAACCCAGCGCGTTCCTGCTGGGGAGCAGGGGAAACCCCTGCACCCTGACCCCACTCCCTGGTAGAAACACCGGGGGTGGGGGAGGGGGAGGGTACCGCAGGCAGAAGTGATGGGGAGGGGGCCCCATTTGTTCTGGCCCAGGGCACCACAAAACCGTAATCTGCCTTTGGCTATATATACCACAATATCAACTCCTAAGAGCCAAGGACAGGACTCTACAGTCAAAAATGGAACCCTGATGACTGGCACTGGAATCTTTAAATACAGGTCAGAGCAAGGGGAACTGTTTTTTTAAAGCTCTCTTAACTACATAACAAACAGTTCCCTCTTCAGTGCAAGGCTGCAGGAGGCTGAAACAAAACTGACATTTCCTTGCTCTCTGCTTCAGCTTTTGTCTTGTTCACCGTTTTGATCAAGGCTACCCAAGGTGCTTGCAATCAGGAAAGCACCACTGTGAAGATCCAGAAGCATCTACTGCTTTATATTATATATGAGGGGCAAATCAGCACAGCATTAAGTGAAGGTTGAATTTAAAATTTCACTGAGATGACACTATGAAAGGAAAGAGAAAAAATCAACCATAATGCCCTTCAGAAAGGGGTCTGGAGACATCTTGTTGCTGCTTGTAGATGTAGAACAAACTGGGTAATTTTCCCATGCAGTGACTCAGCTCTGGTTTTGCCCACAGCTACGTGGAAATGGAAAAAGCCACAAGGGTGAGTTGTTGTGAACATGAAAGAGAAAGATGGATTTTCAGTGTCTTTTCATCCTGTGATACAGGGTTTCTTTATGAAAGATGTTAAAATTCCTAAGTGCAGCCTACACAAAGCCTTTTATCGTACAAGCTGATTTAAGCCAGATACCAATAGCAGCTATAATTAACCTGCATTCCAATAGGGCTGAACATAAAAATTTTGGTATGGAAAAAGGCAAAATCAGAGAAACTAATCTTTGATAAATTTAAAGGAAAATGAGCATTTGGATTTTCCAATGTCTGACACTCTGCTTTCGTCAAATCTGGTGCTCGGTACCAGGCATCTCCTTCAGTTGTCTAATAATAATGGAGTTACTTTTTCAGTCTCCATAATTACATAGGTAACAAATCAAGTGTGTGGAATTTTAGATCTACAACTCTGAGAGATACTGTTCTTTTTCTTTATAAGAACCCTACTGAAGTTTATTCAAATAGCAGCCTAAATGTTCTAAGAGCATGTAGAATTGCATATTTACAGTAAAAAGTGGAAAACAACTTTATTCAGCTGCAAACATGAAAACAAAAGGACCAAATTCATCCTTGGTGTAAATGCACTGAAGCCAGTGGGGATACATCAGCAATAAAGCTGTGTTTGGTTACTGATTTTTAGAAGTGTTCCCTGTGTTCAACTTAAGACCGCGGGTGTCTGAATTTCAGAGGTGCGAGCACTCTCAGCGCCTAGTGAAGTCAAGGGGATCAGCACGTCAGGGCTTAATTTGTGCCAGAACTGAGCCCCGGCACTTTTAGGCTTGGTAGTTCACAGCCCCTATGCCCTGTACCTCTTTCATTACCAATTAAGCACTGCAGCACATCCCCAGCCCATCTGAAAGTCAAGCACAAGGTGCCGCAATTTGGGCATGCAGAATTAGCAAACATCTACAAATTTTGACTCTCTCTTCCCCCAAATAACCAT